ATGCCTCAATGAGGCTGCCTTCATCCAGCCATTGCCACAAATGTTACTTCAGCCAGTATATTTAGCTACACGTGGAAAATATAGTTGAATGTGCTCACCTCTTGGTCCTGGAAAGAAGTGTTGTGGACAAGTAAATAGCAATTCCCCAACCTATGATATCTACTTCCCTAACCCCATCTTCCCAGAGTATGAGTTTTGGGACAGGCTGGGCAAATACTTGAGAAAGTGCATCAACTTGAGAAACAACAAATGCCATTGTTGTCAGCTTGTAAGAATGAAGAGAAGTGACGGGGCATAGGCAGAGTGCACATTTTAGACAAGTGTGGGAATTAATGGAACATATAAATATCTCCACAGAGAATGTGTCACTGTTACCTCACAAAGACCATCTGCTTCCGACAGCCCTAATGCACCATTGACATTCTAGGATCCAGGAACACACAAATCTAGCATTTCTAGGAAATGCAAAGCTGACTGAATTGTCTCAATATTTTGATAAAAGGCAAAGATTCTTTGTAACAATTCTTTGCCCAACTCTGTTGCCCTGTAATCATAATTTATATCCCAATTCAGCAAAATACTTAAGTACTAACTTCAAGCATGTGAACTGAGGCTCCAGTTCATTGTAAGACACTTTGCTGATTTTAAAAAGCATAGCTATTTGGGACAGCACTTAAGCATATGCTTAAGTCTCTTGCTTAACTGTTGTTCTGAATAGGGATAGACTCACATTATGTGTATAAGCACTTTCCTGAGTGGATGCGTCTAAAACAAGTAGTATTATTCAAACTATGGCCTTAACAAAGCATTTGACAATCAGTCCAGCAACGTCTACCTTAGAGTGTCTTCTGAAAGGCAGCCAAAGTTTGTCTACACGGGGAAATTTACTGGCATAGTTATACCTCTATAGTTATACACCGGACCCTCGCTAGAACACGGGATTTGTGATCCATGCACGGTACCGTGTTAAAATGAATTGCAATTAAAGTAATTAAATTTGGGATCCATGGCCGTGACCCCGTTATATGCGAATTCGCGCTATATAGACGCATGTTCTAGCGAGGGTCCAGTGTACTTGTATAACCCTCCACATGGAGTTATTCCTTATTCAAAAATTATGCCAGTAAATTTCCCTGTGTAGACAAGACCTTCAGAGTGTGATCCTGAGAAGGGCAGAATTAAAAAGGGGACTAAAAGGTGCTCAGAGCCTTTTAATAATGGTATTACCACTTCTCACAAAGCAATACAGCAACTACAATAACAATTCTTTGGATAGTAGTAGCTGTAATAATTCTTAGTAGAAGGCTAAGGATTTATCTTGTAGTTTATATTTGTAACAAAGTTTTAATAGTCACAATCTTAACAAAAAACAGTTCCATAAAAGTGACCTTTCATAAGAATATTTTGTGTGTGTGTGTGTGTGTGTGTGTGTGTGTGTGTGTGTGTGTGTGTGTGTGAGAGAGAGAGAGAGAGAGAGAGAGAGAGAGAGAGACACTGACTCTCTATATCCAGCTTGGGTCAAATATCAAACTTTATAATTATTTGCAGTGTTGTTGTAGCCTTGTTGGTCCCAGGATATTAGAGAGACAAGGTGGGGGAAGCTAATACCTTGTGTTGGACCAACTTTGTTGGCGAAAGAGCAGCTTTCAAGCCACACAGAGCTCTGCTTCAGGTCTAGTAAGCTTTACAATTGGGTTTTTACATCCCCAATGTTTTTATGAGACTGTCACCAAGCAAGGCTTCTCTCCAGCTCCAAAATATACACTGCCAGAGCCCTTTTACCAGTCTCTTTCAAGGAGGCCTATTTTCTTAATGGAAGCACGTAAACAAACAGAAAAACTGTATTTTAATTCAGTCCTTACTTTCAGGTTTCAGTTCCACCCCTCTTCAGGGCCTTGCCAGCTTCCCAGGTCTGCTCCCTCTCTAGGGCAGTAGCCTCCTTGCTCTAGGGGCCCACAACAGTGTCAGATTGGGTCAACCTGTCTCAGTCAAACCATTTCTTCCTACCTACTAGCAGCTCTTTATAGGCCCAGGTAGATCCCAGCCCCCTTGAATTGGCTGGATTGCACGCACCTGCTCTGATCTAGGCTAGGCCCAGCTAGCCTAGTCACAGAGACCAGCTACCGTGAGGCAGCTAGTTTGGCAGTATAATACGTCTCTGGTACATATTCTCACTACTGAAAAATCAGCTGGTAATAGGACTGTTAAAATGTTATAGATTCAAGACTCTCCTGATGCAGGAGAATGTCCCTGCTGTTATGATTGAAACAGCACATATACATTTAAACAGGGAAGCTTTGGATGCTGGTATTACTGCTGTTCTGTACAGGTTCTTATACCATCCTCATCACTGCAAGATCGGAGCATCTTCTGGCCGTGCATCTGTCACATGTGATCCTGCCTCCATTGAAGTCAATAGAAGTTTTGCCCTTTACTTCAGAAGGTGTAGGATGGATTGAGCCCTTTTACCATAAATAGTATTTGTTCCTTGTACACTGCCAAGGCCTGGTTTAGTTACCATTGCCATTTGATAAGCAGGAAAAATAGTGCAGTGATAACACATTCCAGAATAGTAAATGTGAATAGATAACTCCACTCTTGGATATGCACTGACGTCTCCGTAAGTCAGAGGGCATCGTGTTTATGGAGACATTTTTAGGCTGTATGACTATTTTTCTCAAGGTTTACATGTAAAATGTCATATCAGGATTTCTCAGACTGGAATACAGCAGGTTCAGATGGAATTTAAATGTAGTCCCCGGCAACATTACCGCCAAACGCTCCATCGTGTAAGCACCGTGTAACTGTTCAGAAATGCTGAAGAAAGAGATCAAAGTCCTGGATGTAAAGGAAGGTTATTTACAAACAAAACCACTACTAGTTCTTCCAAGATCCAATGTAAGTCTGACCATTTAGGGTCATAGTTTTGCAGCACGCACTCCCTGTTGCCTCCCATACCTGTACAGATTTAACAAATAAATTTGGCAGGTAGCTTTCAGGGTTTAGTAGCACTCTGGAGACAGACAGGATGGAGAGAGAAGGTTCAGCACATTTATTAACCGCATGAGTGCTCAGTGCCAACTAAGTCTGCTCAGATTTCTGGGAGACATCCTCATACCTGCTCCAACTACTTTATGCTGAGTAAAAGGGCATAAAGGGGACCTAATAGTCCTAGTTCTGGCTGAGAATGAAGGCAAAGACAAATGAAAGGCAGCCTTCCAAGGAACCCTTATAAGCCCTGATGTAGGGGGTGTGTCAGGGCCAGGAGAGGCATAACAGACAGTGCTTCCAAGATTCCAGGCAGTGCTGCAGTCCATAGAGCAGCCTACGGGCCTGTCTAAATTATGCTGGGCGCTGCGTCAGAACAGGCAAGGATCAGAATGTTGCAAAAGAGGACGTAGCCTGGACTGTGAATTTTGTACTGTGCCTTTGCTAGGTGCAGCACAAACCTGACCTGTACTTTGCATTGAGCCTGCACAGAGAATTAACACAGCACTATAGCTACACACACATTAATAGCATATCTATCCTTACATTTAATATACTGCCTCTTGTGTTAGCATCTAACTACAAGTTGTTCAAATGTGAGACTTTGCTTTAAAGAGGGGAAATATATTGTAAGCTATGTTGAATTCCATTTTTTTTTTTACAGTAATAGAGCCATTACAAACCAGAATGAAATAACTTGCCAATTATCAACAATACAGTATCTCAGCCCAGATGCTCCACAAATGCACAAAGAAAAATAGTAGGCTGTGTCATGGGACCAGAAGATTACAGCTGTTAATTACTATTTTCCCCAAAACTCATGAAGACACTTCAAATCATATTAGGCTGTCCATTCGTGAATTTGGGACCTTAAACTAATACAACCCAAAAGTAACATGTTGATATCTATATTATATGCTAGTAATGGACACAACATGATTTAGCCTCATTCTCGTTAAAATAGCTTTACTGATTTGCAGACAGTGGATCAAGGCTGCATATGCAGAAGGATACTACAAAGAGCCAGGGCACAATTACAAACACTTGTCAGAGACAGAAAAAAGGGGAGGGATGGCATATAAATTGACTGGGACTCTTGTTCAAGTTCAGAAGGGAAAAAAAAGAAATCAGGATGTTCCTGTAAACTGAAAACGTTTATCCAAGAATAACTTGTCATGGGCTTCAACCAAAGCCAGGACAATTTAGAATAAACAGAAGAAAAATCTTTATAACTATAATTTTTTTTTAAAAAATAGCAGCATCACCAGGAGTATGCAAAGCTGAATTTGCAGTTCAAAAGGGTAGGTTGGGTTGACAAAATAACCGGCCTCACTGCAGCCAATAATATACCTGTGCTTGGAGTTACCTGAACTTCTCTATAAGAACTCAGGCCATCTCTCTTTAGGGTGATGAAAGGGACAGGCCACTGGCCTAGGAGTCAGACAGACTGAAATCTGTTACCTCAGAGACAGTGATAATGTGGCCCATAATCACACATATGAGGCAGACTTAAGCAAGTCACTTCACCTCTATGCTTCAGTTTCCCCAGCAGTTCCACAGAGATTGTAAAGCTTGTTCACGTTTGTGATGTGATTTGAAATCTATGGCTGAAGAACGCTATACACAGTGCAGAGCATTATTTCAGTTGTTGGTGCTCAGCTATGCAATAAGAGGCAAGTTAGCAGACAATTTCTGTTAGTAACTATGCTACACAAGTGCCTGATCTTCTGGGGTCATGAGCTCCCTCCTCTCCAGCTGAAGCCAAGGTATGGAGGATGCTTCCCACTTTACAGGATTGGGCCCCCAGGCACAACATGGCAAGACAGACATAGGGAATTAACCAAGTTACGGGGTGCGATGGAAATGAGAACTGTTGGCAAGAAAAAAGCCCAGCAAACAAACTAATTACATGCAGGAATAACTTTAATAAGTCACATAGCTGTAAAATATCAGTAGCTGCATAACAATACACAAATTTAATGTTTATTATGAAACAACAAGCATGTCTTTGGTAAGCCAGGCAGTCTCTCCCCAAATACCTACATATCTGAAAAATCATGTGTTTGTTCCTTTGTAATAAGACACCCTAACTTTGTGAAAGATTTGCTGCGGTCACTATATTTCTGAAAACATTTTTCCTTGAAGTATATACACACTGTAGGCAAAACAGGATTTTTGTTTCAGGCTAATACATAATCTGAGAATATTTAAAAACCAATATATACTCAGGGATAACAAAGATGATTTCTGCCTCTATTAACACATTCTGGTATTTTGAGCTCGTCTGTAAACTTTTTTGTTCAAAACCTGGACTACTGTGTAATGGCTAACTCTGGACATTCCATTTGCTTAAAAAGACACGTTCAAAAAAAAAATCGGTGTCTTCCAAGTCAATGATTAAAATGACCCAATTGAGTTATCAGAGAGAAACTATAGGCCTTAAACCTATTTATTCTTCTTGGATTTCTAGCAAATGCCTATGAGTAGACTGTTTCCACTTTACATGAGAATATTCTGAGAGAAAGTCCATGCTCTTATTACATCATGCAGTGATGCGGCTCCAGCCATTCAAGGTATACTCACATAACAGAACACTTGCCTTTCAGTTTATCCTTCTTTTTCTGCTGCTTGGATTTCTTCCCATCCACCTGGAGACTGACAGTTCTTCTCTTCTCCAGATTCAAGAGTTCTTGGAAGAGCTCCTGTACATTGTAGTTCATTTTAGCTGATGTCTCCATGAAGGAACACTTCCACTTGCTGGCTAAGGCTTCTCCTTCACTGGCATCCAGTTCCCTCTGGGTCTCATCACTCTTGTTACCAACCAACATTATTGGAATCTTTTGGATATCCCCTTTGATCTGACAAATCTGATCATAGATTGGCTGAAGTTCTTCCATGGACTGCCTGCTGGTGACCGAGTACACCAAGATGAAAGCATGACCTTTGGAGATAGACAACCTCTGCATAGCAGGGAACTGATGGCTGCCAGTGGTATCTGTAATCTGAAGGGTGCAGATGTTCTTATCACAGCTGATCACCTGTCTGTAAGTGTCCTCAATGGTAGGGATGTAGGTTTCCCTGAAAGTTCCCCTTACAAAACGGAGGACCAAAGAGCTTTTACCAACCCCTGCAGCTCCAAACACAACCACCCTGTAATCATTGCTTTGTTCTGGCATGTTTGCTCTGATGTGACCCAAGAAGTGAGGAAGGTCTGAATTGCAAATGCCCAGGTTTCTTGCGTTTACATGCCCTTATGCAGAGACGGCCTGCAGAGAGGAAAAACAAAGGGGGGGGAACCCCAACCCTCATCATTCACAGTACACAAGAGGTTTTGCTATGCAGATAAATACACCCCCTCCTCCCATCCTTCATCTCTCTGCTGTATTACAAAGCCAAACCAAATCCCCATGGCACATGTCCCATACACAGCAAGCATCATATTGAAAGTGAAAACTGTAATTCACCTGTGGCCACCAGCTCCAATATCCGGAGAAACGAGATTAAAATCACCCACCAGAGCTAAGATCAGGCAGCTTCTCTCATTAAAGTTCTTCTGTGCCCAAGCAACAGAGCCCCGCAGCACTTCGCTCCCCTGCAGCTGGTGCAGAGGCTCTGCTCAGCAAACGCCTTGGAATCACCTCCTGCTGCCTACACCAATCCCAGCGACAGGCTCCCTCACTTCCCACCTTTTGTCGGATGCTAATCCTGGGGGGAGGGGGGGGGGTTGTTTTTCTCTCTAGTTTTTGTGCACGCTCCCACGCTGGCTCCGCAAAGCAACAGGCAGCACAACTTGGCCATCACTAAAGCTGCATCACCTCTACTGCTGGATCTAAGCTAATGCAATATTTCAGCTGCTGGTACAATCAGTGAGGCATGCAGGCATGAGAGTCATGCACTAGGGTCATCTATAACCAGGAGTGGCTGCATCATCAGTCCCCTTCAGAAAAAAAGGGGTAAGGTGGATCTTCCTGGATCCTGCTGATTTTTGCATCCAAGCCCCCCTCAGAATAATAATAAAAAAAAAAATCTGCCCCAGAAAGCCTGAACCCCCAACATCCTGGCACAACAGACTCCCAAAGCCCAGATCCAGTACCTGGACTCTGCTGGATCCAGCCACATTTTGGCTCCTACCTTCAAATTCTACTGCATAAATAGAGAACGAGGATAGAGGTACTTCTTACACCAAAAAGAAATTCCAGACTCTGATACACCACAGAGCAATAGTAGGACAGCTACCCAGAGCTGGCACTTGGTTCTCGTTAGATCTAGCCAATTTTTGCCCCCAGCCATGAAAATTCCACTGGTCAAGTATATCAGCAGAACTTCTGGGTGGGTTTTATTCTGATGGAATCATTTAAAGCTATAGAAGTGAATTGTGCTATTAAAAGGGGGGGGGGAAATACAGCCTTCATCCCCACCCAGTCCCCAGTCAAGCCACCAAGCTTTGATATTTTCCAGTTTAGGCTCTGGTACTGATAAAGAAATAATGCCCTATTTAGTTAGGGGACGGGGCTGGGTGGAGATCCAGCTTGCATGGCTGATCATTTATGGGACATCACAGGCTGGAGGATGTTTCCAGCACTCTATTTAGAATACATAGACCTAGTTTTGTTGCTGTTTCAATGGTATGTTTACAGTGTTCTACAGAGTTGTGAAACGTGCATCTCCACCACCTTTTTGGCAATGCTGTTGCATTAGGATAGGTAAGGATCCAGCTTATGCTGGTGATGTAGGGGAAGGTGCATATATATAGTAAGTGTAAGTAGAAAGACTGGGGAGTATGCAGCTAAAAATTATCCAGATTCACAAAGACACTGGTGCCAAATTAGAGAATTGCAGTTTTCTTGAAGGAGAATATCTTGGGAGGAATAGAACAGGAGTACTTGTGGCACCTTAGAGACTAACAAGTTTATTTGAGTAATAGCTTTCGTGGGCTACAGCCTACTTCATCGAATGCATGGGAGGAATAGTAAAAGCTACACCTGCTCTCTGTTTTGATGGTACAATTTCTGGGTTTGCAGCCAAAAGTTGGCAGGATCCCTGGATCCAAGTTTTTGCATCAAGGTCTGGATTTGTTAAAGGTACAGAAGAAGCAGTGATATGTTCTCTACTTACATGGTAGATTTTGGGGGATTGGGGCCCTAAAATTGGCAGCATCCAGGTGGGTTTTGCAGAGCAGTTGCACCAGGATGTGTCCTGGTCTGGGTGTTTTGGTGGCGGGAAAGTAGCTATTTTGGTAATACATTTGAGGATGTAGCTGCAAATATCAGCAGGACCTAGCCAGCTCCAGGGCTGCCTGGAGGGGGGGCAAGTGGGGCAATTTGCCCCGGGCCCCACAGGGGCCCTCACGAGACTATAGTATTTTATAGTATTGCAACTTTTTTTTAATGGAAGGGGCCCCTGAAATTGCTTTGCCCCAGGCCCCCTGAATCCTCTGGGCGGCCCTGGCCAGCTCCATCTTTCACCCACTTACCTGCCACATTCGAGCCCCAAACATGCACCACTCTCACCCCCTCCACACCCCAACAGTAGAGCAGACACAACAAGTGCTCCTAGCTCCAGACAAGCAGCTTCCTCCCAGGCAAGTCACGCCAGTACTGTTCAGCTATCAAGCTCCATATGCAGGAGAAAGTGGTAGCCCCAGGCCCGCCCAAAGCCAGAAGGGAGCAAGCAACAGCACCACTGCTGGCTTTTTGATGAGTAATAAGATTATTGCAGCGCAGCTGAAGACAGCACAGGGCTTTAGCAACAGCCAATGAAAGCAGCCCCCTTTCCTCATCCAAGCCTCAGCACAGAATAAATATGTATATGAATCTTTACCTCATTCTTTTGCTCTTCCAAAAAGCCGGCTAGTGTAGGGGCAGCCCACACCCACAGGCAGCCTGGTGTGGAGCTGGCACTCAATGGAAATACAAATTCCACTGTTGTATTTGTACCCGATGGAGAGCAGAGGCTGGGAAGCACCACTGCACCGAGGGAGAGGGCAGGCGTGGCTCCCCCTGTGCAGCAGCCCTAAAGCCAGCCTCCAAATCTGCCCTTGCTGGGAGCCCTGCTCCACCCTAGCAGCTGGGCCGCTCTAGCATGGCTGCCTAGCTGTATTTCCAAGGTGATGGAGCCGCACAGACTCACCCCTGCTTGCAGCCACCCTGTATTTCATTCAGTTTTTCCAGGAGTGGAACATCCCATTCATGCTGCTGGAGTGGAATAATAATAGTTAAAGGAGCCAAGTCTTCCACTGGAGGGTTATCATCTTGTCTGGGGAAAACTGCCTGGGTTTATTAGAGCACTTTTCCAAAGCCAAGCATGGTGTTTAGTGCTGGAAGAAGCAGCTCTGTATAATGCAAATGCTAGCAGGGCTTTCTCTGAGGTAGACTGTTGTCTTTAATGTCAAAACACCTGATGTGAGCCTAGCAAAGTGTTTATCGGCCAGATCCCAAACCAGTATTGTTATTAATTTCTTATTTGCACCCAAGTACTTATCCCAGCAGTAGCTAGGATCTTTCCCAAATTCTCTTCACACCTTTTACCATCCCAGGAGTGAAAAATCAGTGTACTCCTAAGTAAAAATAATTTTAAAAAATGAAGACAACACTGGAATTGTAGGTACAAATACTACACGGCTAACTGTGAGTGCTTCTATCAGAGGGACCCCCCCCGAACTGAAATCACCTGCTGTTAAGACTGGAGATGTCCTCCTCCTTTGGGAGCATTGTAAGTAATGTTCAGCCAGAAACTTCCTGACATTCTGCTTAGATATCTTGTTCAGGACAAGCAGTCCAAGACTCTCTCTAGTAGATCAGCATCAGTTGATCAGTCTCTAACAGATCAGCAGTTCAAGGAAACTATGGTGCCTTATTAGGGGAGCTCAGGTGTTCTTTCTCCTTATAGTCCCAGCCTCATTGCCTGAGACAGGGCAATTTAACCTTCTGTTATCTAGGCGGGACCAGTTTTCCAACCCATCACATGCAGCTGTGCTGATCTTCATTATAAAAAGGCTTTTCTGAGCACTTCTTTATACTAACAAACAACAGTGGGAGAAGATTTTCCTATATTTAGTTGTGCAATGTGGCACCGCTTCTTCCTTCTTACATCCTGACCTATGGTTATTTATTTGTATTTTAAAAGCAGACAAATTAATTGCATGTCTTCTTCTTGGCTATTTGCTAAAATCTCTGAGCAAGTATTGTATAGGGCAGGTGTACATTTGCTTTAGCTAAAAATAGGATTCCTATATTAGCATCTATTGTATTGTCCCCACTGAATGGAGGTTGTTTCCATAGAACTATTCCAATTCAATATAGTCTTTTCCTCATACATATAAGAGAAAGGAAATTCCTAATTTTGTTTCAGGATAAATTTTCATATGGAGTTTTACTTATTTCGATCAGCAAAAGGACTTATCAAAGCACTAGGTCACAGGTGCCTTGTTACAAGTTCTAAAAAACCAAGACTACGCTTTCTCATTGTTAGTGGAGCCATTTCCTGTTGCAACAATGGAAACTACATCTGTGTAGCTGAGTGTCTGTGCCCCCTGTGACAGTTTGGAGGATATGTCTGTGGCCAATTAGGAATACCTCTCTTTTATAACTGGCATGTAACATTTGCTTTTAACGACTCTCTTCCAGCAATCTCACGTGGGGCTGAAGCATGGAAAATCCCAAGGGAAGGACAGGAACAAAGATGTGTCACTTATTTAAAAAGTGACATGCTCTCTAGCAAGGGCAGCCATTTCATTACCAGAACCAGAGGAGTCAACAGGAGGAGTGGAGGCAGGAGGGACCTGGCCTCCCTGAAGGACCTGGACCAAACCCCAAGATTCACAAAACAGGGACACAAGATTCCCAAGACTAAGTGGGGATTGTGTTCAGGAGACCGTTGTTTTGCCTAAGTCTAACTCTCTGGTGCCGTCTAAGAGTAAAGCATGAGTGTGTTTAAGAAGTTCCTTTGCAAAGCCTGTGTTCCTCGCTTTAATGGTCATGTGGTTTCCAAAGAGTTAGACTATACACCGGAGTGCACTCAAGGGTGGATTGCTGAAGGGAGCATGTATAAACTATTGAGGGGACTCAGAAGGGCTGAGACACTAGTTCAAGGGTAGTTGGCTGTATGGCAGGGGCCTCCTACCAGGGCCGGCTCCAGGCACCAGCTTAACAAGCAGGTGCTTGGGGCGGCCAAGGGA